TTTACTCTTTCCAGGCATTTTTTGCTAATTATCTGCTAGCCAGAGGCTCTTTTTATAGTCAAATCTATAGAAATAGCTCTTATTATAGAAGTATATTATATATACCTGAACTCTAATTAGAAGTAAAGGTTGAATTATATACTATATACTAGCTTCATCCTCTTTATATTAAACTATATATAATAAAAGCTCTTTTATTAAGGGTAAAAATACCTCTTAATAATACTTAATTATATTAGGGCATTCGTATTCATCTATATAAAGCCCTTTCTTAGTCTTATGGTAATAAAAGCCGAGCCTAGGGAGCTATAAGTAAGCTATACTACGGGCAATAGGCTTTTCTATTATTAATAATAATCGAGATAAAATCTCCTAATTAATAGTATTCAGGAAATCGTTTAGTAATATTATTCCAAGCTCTTAATTAATTAACCAAATATAGCAGGCTAAAAAAATATCCTTATTATCCAGATAAAAAACACCCTCTCTTTTACTACCCCTAGTTTCTTGGGGAATACTATACTATTATTAATAGTAATTAAATAGCCCTCTAATTCGCCGAGCTAGTATCTTTCTATTATTTAAGCGGTAATTACTGGAAGCTACTAAGAGTAATATATTAACTCTTCCAAGTTAATATTACCCTAGCTTTAGAAGCTATTAGGTATATTACCGAAGTAAGTATAAGTCAGTAATTATATATAGAGTATATAGCTCTTTGGTTTGAGCTAGCTTAATATCTATATTATTAAGGACTTCTTGGTAAGTCATTCGTATATCTAGAGCTTTATTATCTCCGTAAGCGTTTCTAATAAGGGTATCCAAAAGTAGCTCGTTTATTCCATTATCTTTATCTTTAAGCCTTTACTCTTCCCTTAATTATATATTCCTAGGGATATTAATTAACCTCCTAATAATATTGAATTATAGCTTCTTTTATTTAAAAGATAGTATGATTATAGGAGTCTTAAGCCTACTAAATTACTCTATAACTTGAGTATCTTTTATCCTCTAATTATATATATGTTTTTATTAAGTTCTCAATGGCTTTACTAATTCCTTTATTAATTTGGAAATATACGAGCCTCTGGAAGCTAGAAATAATATTAGTATATTTATATTATAATAAAATAAAATAAGATAAGAAACTTACTAGCCTACTCTATAAGTCTTTACTCTTGCTATATGAATATAGGCTTCTCCAAAATAATCGTCTTATTACCACTAATAATAAGCTTTTACTAAGCCCAAAAGAGAGTCGAATCTTCAAGCTCTACTTCGTTATTTTATTTAATATCTAATTTATCAGAATTATTCTCTATATTAGAGGGTTTCCCATACCGTTTGTTAATAGATACTTGGATTGCAGCTTCTTTAGCTATAGTAAGAACTATAATTAAATCAAGAGTCGAATTAGCTCGCTTGCATTTCTAAAAGCTTATAGAGGTAGCCATTAGAAATATATAAAAAGGGCACTGAATTAGGTTTGTGGTTATTAAGATATTAATATAATTATAGAAGAGCGGTTAACTAAGGGGGCAGTTACGTAATAACCAAAGTAAAAAAACGACTATACAAAACGCAAAAATATTTGCTTACTTAATTACGTATATTATAACTTCCTTAATAATAAAGATATTATAATTTTGAGAACATAGAATTAATTCCTATAGTATATAGTATAATTTTAATTAATACGATTTATATTAATTAGTATTGTAGTGGTTTTTATTTTTTTTTGTCGCTTTTGGATCGGACCGACTATACTCGCCCTCTAACCCCCTTTCCCCCTATAAACCCCCTCTCTTATCTATATATATATATATAGAGAGAGAGAGAGAGAGAGAGAAGAATTAAAGAAAGTAGATATTTAAAGTAGTAATAGAGGTATAGGGAGAGGGTATAGTATATAGGCGTAATATATAATATTTACGATTTTTGGTAGGGTATATACATGTCATAAATCAGATATCGAAAGTCGAAAACCGGATTCGAAAATCGCTTGATTACTTGATCCTTATCGCTTTCCGTAACAATCGGCTTGTTGAGCAAGCCATATGTCTTGCTTTTGAGCGCCACCAAAAGTTTTGCTAAGTGTGTATTTGGTTCGTTTGTGTTGGAATGACCCTTCAGCCACCCTTGAGGGGTATCATGTAAGAGTTATAACAGGTTATAACAGTTTGATCACGTTATCATAGTCACGTGTCAGCACCAAAACATGAAACTCCCACCACATTACCTAGTCTGCTAACGAAGGCACACAATGAAACTTATATGGGTAACTGTATGTCCAACCACTATCTAGCCTCGAAAGCTATCCCAAAACGGTCATTTTTGCTCAAGGCAGTAACTCCGCAGTCAATTTCGTCCCTCATATATTTTATAAAGGCTCTAAGGGCGGTAGAGATATCGGAGCAACTCAATTTTCAGCTTACCGGGTAATCTATTGAGAACCATGAGCATTGGTGGGGTTGAGATACAAATTGATGCGGAGTATATCGATACTGGGAATCATTGAGATCGTCGTAAAGGAAAGACAAGGGACTTGGGTTGAAGACAACGCTCTAGGCGATGAGGCTGTCTCTTGTTAATATAGTGGAATAAATTTGACATTTTTGCATCCTGAAAAGCTGTAATAGTAAGCCTTATATCGAGTGTCAACTTGGAAAGATCTTTCAACTCAGGGACTTAGTGTATGACTGTTCTAGTAGGTGGTGAGGGTGAAGGAGCACTAAATCACATAACGATGCCCCGAAGTGCCCTGAAGTTGAAGCTTTGTCAGCAGGGACCAGATCGCTGTCAAAAATCGTCACTCAGCAACTTCATCTCACGAGCACCATGAAATGGAATTGAGAGTGAGTGACTCTAAGATCTGAGACTGGACTACGCACTCTCTTGTCCTTCTTGTTCTCCGGAATAGATAAAGGGCAATAGCGAGAACGATGAGATTACCGAACTCAATATTTGCAGCGTTGGAATTCGATCTTCTGCTAGAGATGCCTGGAAACGTCGGAGTGGGAATCGAAAGGCCTAGGCAACTATGCGTTCAGGTATTCTGTAATCTCCAAATCACGTTCCTTTAGAGACCTTGAATGCAGGGGGAGGATTTGGCGCCCTACGCCCCCATAATGCACTTTACATATGGTTCGGTCTTGGGTCTAATAATAATTCCTCCTTCACACATAAATACATGAATATCCGTTCCGCTGCCGCCAGGTTCGTGTTGGCTCGTGCGCATCTAAGCGAACTAAACTAGCAAATCATATCGCTAGATTCTTTGGTTTAAGGCCTCTGATTTGCTGCAAATTTGAGGTATATTTGATCGCGGAATCACGAACCTGGCGGCAGCGGAACGGATAGAGAAACCAGAAATTCAGAAAAGAATATAAGGATAGAATTAGTATATCAAAGAATTAATTACATTAATCAAATTAATTAATGTAATTCAATCTGTTACGTAACTATAATAAATCACTGTTTACTTAATAAGTATTACAGGGAAACCTGGTTATAAGGGTAACCTGTTTATAAGGGTAGTAAATCGGGAACCAAATTTTTTTTTCCTACCAAAATTAGTCTGGTTATAAGGGTAACCCCTTTATAAGGGTAATTATTCCGGAACCGGCCGTACCCTTATAACCAGGTTTCCCTGTAAATAACTAAGGCACCTATTAGTGTAATGGGCACACGTGATGGCGCATGGACAGGTGTCAGATATCGTGGATCTAGTTCCCTATTTTGGGTAAAGCTTGCGATTGGAATCGTACGGATCGTATCGGCTCGCATTTCCTAGTTAAGTAAAGGGCTTCGCATGCTTGGCTAAGCACTAGGGAATATATAGGGAGACGCTCCTAGCTTTGGAAAGGGGCATCAATTAGTCTTTTATTGGAATCAATTCTTGGAATCAGTTACACTTGCAAGCGTCACTCTATAGCTTACTTACCTTGACTACTTGTGCATCACCCTGCTATTACGTGCCTCACAATTAGGTAGCCCTAGTTAAACTAAGCTAGGGCTTATATAATAGTAGCTGTATACTAGCTTTTAATAATAATAAACTAGTTATTCTCCTATATTCCCCCTTTTTTAATTTAGCTTCGAGTCGCTTACTAAGCGTTGCCGCCCCTGATTAGTATAGTACTAGATCTAGAGCGGGCAGGAGCGTTACCAGATTAGGCTAGCACGGTCACGTATAGAATCACGTGTGTTTTAATTAGATTAATCATGATTAATCTAATTAATACGTGAATAGAATATAATTAATGAATATATTTCGTGATTAGATTAGATTAATGGCCATTAATCTAATCTAATCACTTGACACACTGGATAGAATAATCATATTGAAATTAGGGGCCTGAGGCCCCTAATAGGCTTAGTAAGCCCTGGAACAGAGCCTTAGGGGCTGTGTACTAATGGGGCTTAAGCCATAGGATTATTACTGAGTAGATTATGCCCTGTAAGGTTGATACAGGACATAATATGCCCTGTGAGGCTAAATCGGTTCAGCTGAGGTTGAATGGTTCAGTATAAGGCTCTCTGGTTAGGGGTTTAGTGCATGTGACTTAGGGGGTTCAGGGCTATATATACGGGCTACTTACCACTGTAGAACAGCAGTCAATTCAGTACGTTTTACTTGGTTTACATTGCAAGCACGTGACCCTTGCTTTAGCTAGTTCAACAAATCAGAGATGCACGGATAAAATGTGTGAAGAGGAGCCACCCTCTTCGTACGAGTTTAGTTTCTGGTATTGATGACCAAAGACGAAAGGCTTTATCTTAGGTGCCTGAAATACACAAGACAACTTTAGTTAACTCTTTGGGTGTCGACAAAGTTTATTACCTGACATCCCTGCGAGGCCTAAGGCCATATAATGGTGCGGTGGAACAAGGAGAAAAGACATCGGAGCCGTTCTATGGCATATACCATTGTCTGCTATTATCACTTTATATTCTCTCATTTTAGGTCAGACTATCTTACAATTGCCTCCTACAATATTTTACCCAGCGCCGTGGCACCCATCAGCGGAAGCTCCGCCTGCCGATACGACGGCGCGGCCGACACACGCCTTCGTTCCGATGGGCAGGTTTCCCGAGGCATGCCACTGGTAGGTTTCACTGGTTAGTGTTTTGAAGCTCCACCCGGTCAAGGCACCGCAACCTATGTTCAAATATGATATTAGCCTCTAAATCGGTGACTAGGTTGGCATGTCGCCGGGCCGAGACCCCTTTCACCTACCTTGAATCTGTTTCTTCAGCCCAGAACCATCGGTGCCGAACTTTGTGGGATCAAAGTTCTTGCCGTAGACGTCGAAGTGGTCTAAGACGAACTTGTACGAGTCACCGCATGTATCCGCTGCGGGGGAAGGGGGAGCAGTCGTCTTGGCCGGTGGTGGTGCCGCCGTCGTCGTCGCCGTGGGAACTTCGTCATCCGGATCGGGAGGCCCGTTACCGAATGCCTCCAGATTGGCGGCCAAAACGTTGGTGGCGTCTGAACTGCTCGGATCTGTACTGTTGTCGAAATCGACGTAGAGGGAGACAGGGAAGTTGTTATCATCAAAGTCATCTTGGGCTGTGCTTGGGTTTTGCTTTCCAGGAACTCCGGGGAAGTATCCCGTGGTATCCCACCACCCAGATGGAGGGTTAGTATCAAGACTACATAATGGTTATACGAATCACTGAACTTACCAGATAGCATTAGCTAGTATTGCGTAGCTGTCGGCGTTTGTTGAAGCTCTGGTCGCGCCGCCGCCCTGGTTAAGACTCCGTTTGGCCAGGTTGTGAACCAGCCTTGGGCCGTATGCCTTGATATCATTTGTACCGGGTTTTTCACCTTCTGGAATAGGGGCGACATATTCATCGGTGATATGTGGCTCATCGGCGCCGTTCGCAATACGTGTATGCATCAACTCGTGGAGGAAGAATTGACCGGTGTTCTGTAGCCAGGTCATATCGGTAGCAAATTTGTGCTGCCACTCGCGAGGTCCCTCTCTACGTCGGCGATCTTGGTGTCGAGAGTATCCAGGCTGAAGAACAGGGGACAGAGAGTAATATAGTGGTAATAATACACCCAGCCACTGTACGTCCAAGCATAGCCTCCGACTCCTTTGCCAGCGATCATCTGGTTGCACTGTTTCTTGGTATCTTTACAGCTGACCGTAATATATTCTTTATCAGACGTTTCAGGCGTCTTGAACTGCCAGGCACGCTTGAGATTGCCGGCAATTCGGGTCTGCTGCGAGGCATAGTCGGGCCCCATATAAAAGATCTCAGAGGCTCGGCCACGGGCGCCTGCACCACTATTTGGGAAGTCGGACGCCTAGGAAGCTAGTGTTGTCGCATCCCAGACGGCAGTTTCTAGTGCGGACTTTTGAGGGTCGGTGCAATTCGAGTCATTGTCAAAATAGAGGTAGCCTCCAGATCCTCCTCCCATAGCGTTAAAACAGTCATCGGATGGGTTTTGTCCGTCGCATAAGCTGGGTTGGGGAGGTATGCCTGATGGATAGGGGTTTGAGGCCCGTGCCGGAAAAGAAATTGACTTGGGGATTGATGTGGGATCCGAACTAGAAGGGTTGTTCACGTCCAAGCTGGACGGCGCTGGAGCGAGAGGTCTGGGGCTAGCAGCGACTACTATACATAAGTAAAGCAGTACCAAAGCCGTGTGCTGCATAGCTAGTACTTTTTGTAAGGGAAAAGAATAAGAGAGGGCGAATTAATGGCAGAACGGGATACCTGTGCTCTGAGAAGTATTTCGAATAAGGGGAAAAAGCTGCTGCATTATATACCTGCCTATGCAAGAACCAACATGAGATTTTTCAGACGGCACAAGTTTAGGATTCATTCCTTGCTTAGCAAAAGCCTCGATGGAGAAGCTAACTATAGCAAGGAGAGAGAACTTGCGCCTCCATAACTATAAAGAACCAACATAGGATTTGCAAAGTCTATAGTATAAACAGAAACCGCCTGGTCAGCCCTGGGAGAAGTTAAGTTAGTGAGATGTTGGTACCTATACTAATAAGAATTTGGGAATAAACCTCGTATATTATAAATAGATAGTGTTGGTTGTTGTTTCACGTACCTAGTAAACCTTCGCTAACAGCGCTTTGGCCGTGGATTGACTGGCTTCTAGTCCACAGTATGAACAGAAAACGCCTGGTCAGCCCTGGACAGTGTTGGTTGTTGTTTCACGTACCGCCCCAGCCCCCACTATGCCCCATTTTGTTTCCTGTGCCATAATTTCTTGAATACTCCGGCCCAGAGAATGACCACAGTACCCCTCAGGCCTGCCACAGCCGTGGCATATAGGATAAAATAGTGCGTGGTGGGGGCTGGGGCGTCGTGGGTGGACTGATTGGCTTCTAGAGCTGCCGATGATCGCGTAGCGCAACTGTCCTTTTTAGATGCGCGACCTCCCGCCTTGAGAACCGCAGTTCTTCAAAATTCTGCTCTTCTCAACACGCTCCTCGCTGGCTTAATCATCAACCAAGAACTTGCTACTCAGCAGTGTTTTGCTTCTCGCCTTGATAAAATTATTGGACTTTGACTATGGCTAGAATTCTTTTGCGAAGCTTGTTGGCGATATACCTCCTTTTTAATCACCAAGTACGCTCGGCAGACTACGGTGTTGGCTTTGACCTGGCACTTGACTATGGGTAAGAACATGACCCCGACTTTAGATTGGTGATAGTGAGGCTTAATATGTGCAACACAGTGTCGCTAGTGTCTATTTCTCAAATGGCACGGCCGTCAACATTGCAAAGATCCCAGGCGGTCCAGCGTACAAGCAAATGATGAGAGCGACAGAGGTTTTAGATGGCCGCGCGACGGCTTATCACACATGGTTCGGTGACATCTTGGAGGTCGGCACTGGAGCAGCGCAGGCATTCTTAGGTCTGCGATCAGTGGGTGACCTTCTATCCCTACGGCTTGGTAGCAGGGACACCCATTCTCAGTCCTTGTCACCTATGTTGAAAGCATTGAAGACAGCAACGGAGTCATACCTAGAAGCCTCGATATCGGCTGCAGAAGTCGTCGTCCCGTTTCCCGTCTCTGACGCTTATCTCGATATCCTCCGTTCCACCTGCTTCTCCCTCTCATTACATATGCCCATGTCTGCACAACCACCTGCGGGGATCCTCGCAGCGCGTGCCCACGGCATGGTTGGAAAGTGCAACATCGTGACTCGTGACAAAGGGTCGGAGCAAGGCCAAGCGGACGACCCAATGCAACTCATTCTCACCGTCGACTACACCCAGGCAGCCCTCACGGCCCTCCTGGTTGTAGAAGAATGTGGCGTCTTTGAGTACCGGCGCGTACTGCACGACACAAGCCTTGGTGTTGACGGCCTTTCTGGAGGATCCGACACCAATCGCGGCGATCTTGTGCGTGCGCTACAGAGCTTTACTCGTCTACCGCTCGAAGACGATAATGGCGATGAGTTAGGGCGGATTAGTAACTTGGTCCTTCTAGGCGAATCGGCGGGCGACCAGCGGCTCCATGACGTGCTGAAGGACGTTCTGGGCGAGCGGTTTCACCGTCTAGCCACGACTGTTAGTGGCGAGCACACGAAGAATATTGATCCCCTCTATGCCGCTTCAAGGGGCGTTGCGGAGGACTGTTGGGACCGACTGGAGTACCAGTCAAAGCGAGCACAAGTAGGTTAGTGAGAGTAAGTATAGTAACGTCCTAGAGATGAAACTCAAGCTACCAATATACGTCCTACCTTACTACCTACTCTGCTTTACTATGATCCCTCCTGCTGCCATCTAACAGTGTCCGACTGTTACAACCTTAGGCTTAGTGATGCGAAGGCAACACAGTAGAACTTCAGGCAGGCGCCATGGGCATGGCCTGATCACGTGATGATCCTAAGGGATCTTGAGGGTTCGATTCAATGCTTTTGGGAGCTGTTTTGACGTTGTCTGAAGGTTCCTCGCAACCCGGAAGAACGCTAGAGCAGTAATAACTAGCACCGACTCTTCATGAAGGTTCGGAGCAGTTTGGGATGAGCTTCAACGGCTCAATTCGCGACCTGTCTGAGAAGCGCAGCGATGCAAGAAGAATTTGAGAGCTATAATGCTCTCTGATGTGGGAGGCCAAAAATGGGTTTCCGCATTTATGGTGCTCAGGTTGACTCAGGTCAGGCTCTGCTCAGGCTCTTCTCAGGCTCTGATCAGGTACGCTCACCCTCATCTCAGGTTAAAGCAGCAGCTGCTCACGTCCGGAGACTAAAGCGGAATCGGCGAGGATGAGATTAAAGTCCGACTTTCGTGGTAGTTTTGTGGAGCTGCTGGCACTATTAAAGTCCTTCTCACTACCAGGACATTCTCCGCCCCTTACCATCTAGAAGTCCCGGTAACGAGCGGATAAGGATCTCATCCTGAAGCACCCTCGAATCCCACAACGCCCTGACCCTCGCTATGTGGAATTTGCCTTCCCCTTCCACAAACAATATTCTTACAAAACCATAGCCAAGAATTGAGGTTTCAAGAGCGAATCCTTCTTCTTCATCGCAAGCACGAATACAATCATGTCCAATAGGACCGATAACAACGAGTCTGCTAGTCGGGAACATCATCCCAGTGGGGGGCCTCGCTTAACACCTTTGTCAAATAGGTATTCAGGGATTCGCTTAAATGTGGGCTCAGGTTTGCTTCTCAATAATTAAAGCCCTTGACATCTTCCCTGTCTATCCGATTTTACTGAATTATTCATACAAGGTTCAATATTTTTCAAAAATCTTTGCGAAGAACCTCGACGTTCGAGACTCGAACTGAAGTGGGTATGGCTTGTGAACGAACGAAAGCCCCTCCCAAAATCTAGCAAAGCCATTCAACACGCTTCTCGGGACTCCGGGGAACAAGTTCATAATTGAGGGTAGTTCATTTTTGTTTAGCTACGTTCTTCGCTAATACCTGAAGCAGTTTTTTGAGTCTGAATCTCGTCCCACCCTGCAGAAATACCTTTCTTCACTTTCTCATTCCACTTTTGAAGCGACAAAAAACACCACAAGACCACAGAACCTAAATTTGTCCTCACCACCTGGAACTCCTCCCATTGGCCATCCTTAGAGTGAACCCGCTAGGAGATCACCCCTTCTCTGCAGCTATAATCAGCCTTGCAATTTATGTCGATCACCCATAGAGATCTATTCCAATATCAAGAACACCTCCATTTCACAATACGATGATAAACCATAGACCTCCCTCCAATAACAAGCGCTCCCCAAAGTAGCAAAACCATCCATTCAACCCCACTATAATCATCCGGGAGACTTATCTAGGGAACAGGTTTCGGCAAAACGGGCCGCTAATCCACAAGACGACTTTCAGCCGACTCTTCTTTCGGAAGGCAAATATGTTACAAGCAGTTCCAATTCCTTTCCCTATCAACATACTTTACTTCATCCTCTTTCACTTTAAGAGATAAGATCGGATACTAAATACAACTCCAACTAGCAGTATGTGGCCTCGGTAACGCATACACCTTCGCTCACTGCAGTCACTGCAACTTGCTTATAAATCATGACGTTTGGGGATGTGGTTGTAGTCAGGCTTAGTAGAAATACCTAGGTTCTGGTATCGATACGTATTAATGCCAGAATCGTAAGGTATTAATACTATTAATAAAGTATTAATTCCCGGAACCCAATTCCCCACTTTAATTGCAATTAACTTTAGAACCACTTTCCTTATAAGAAAACTTTTAGTAGCTCAAATATTCTACTTAATCTAGGATTTTTATTTAGCTACTTATCTTATAGTTTAAACTAAAACTCGTCTAATGCGGCTATTTTAAGCAATAAATAGCTTTTGAGATTTTTGTAAGGCTAGCTTATAATAAGCTTTCTAATAACAGATATAAATATAATATTAAATTCTCTGAATATAAGGGCTATTTTAAAATTAAGATATTATTAACTTTTATTAATAATATTAAGTACTTCCTTTAATAGTAAAACTAGAAAATAAAGAAATTATATATAAATACATTATTATATAAATTAAATAATAAATGGAAGAGATAATTTAAGGCTAAGTATTAATTCGGTATTAATATGTATTAATCCTTGCGATACCTAACTAATACCATCCAGTATTAATACCTTATTAATACCAAAAGTATTTTTGCCAAGCCTGGTTATAGTGGACCAGAACGTGGTGCATTTGGTCTTGGAGGTGGGGCGCATATTCTTGAGAGAATCCTGTATACACCAAGTAGTTGCAACCACTGTGCGATAAGGGGCCAGAAGGTTGAGAGTAGGTGTGGGCCATTACAATGCCTCGAGTACATGGGGGAATCAAGTAATAGCATACAGTTATTTCACAAAGGTGAAGTGAGAAGTGGTCCGTTGAAAGGGACTTTGAAAGCTCATTTTTAGGGTTATAATCGCTAAATTATAGGCTGTAAGTACTAAAATTTTAGTGCTTAACTTTTTTGTAAAATTCCCTTGCCTTGCCCCTTCCTCCTTTCTCCCTTCTCCCTTTATTCCCCTCTCTTACCCCTATATATATAGAGAGAGAAAAGAATTAAAGAGAATAAATAGTTTAAATAGTAATAAAGGTATAGGGAAAGGGGATATAGTATATAAGTATAATATATATAGTATTTGCGTTTTTTAATAGAATAAGTATTATTAAAAATTAGAGACTATATATTCTATAGTTTACTTTTAAGTAAAGACATAATTTCCAGAGTTTTAAGGAAGCTAGACCCTTCCTAGAAAATATAATAATTAAGCTTTATTTCAATAAATATATTTCTTATTAAATAATAAGTTATAACTAAAGTCTCTTACTAAAACATATTTCGTACTAAAATATACTTTCGCGAATTTTTATTTCTTTAATAATTAAATAACTATAAATCCGTTTATTATAAAATTCAAAATTCAAAATTTAATTATATAGAATAATAACTTAGTATAATAAAAATATTAGATTTATAATAATTATAATAACTATTAAATTATATTTATATATATAAAAAAAATAAGCTTTTAATATATTAATTATTATAATACTTATATTATTTATAATATATAAAAGATTTTTTATAAAAAGTATAATTTCTAAATAAAATTTAAATAAAAGTTTAAAAAAAAAATTTCTTTTTAAATTTCTTATAAAATATAATTTAATAAAGAACTTATATTTAATTTCTTTAATATATTTATAAATAATATATATAATAAAGCTATTTTTATTTTTATTTCTAGTAAAAGTATTATATATATAAAGTTTTATAACTTTAAATTTAAATTAATTTAAAGTAATATTATATTATATATTATTAATTTATTAGAAATATATAATACTATATATATAAATTAGTAAAATAGTTATTATTTAAAAGTAAGAATTATAGTATTATAATATTAATATATAATTTCTAAATTTATTAAATCTAATAGAAACTAGTTACTAATTAAATTATTTATATAACTATTAATAACTATAGCTATATTAATACTAGAACTTTTCTAAAAATATAAAAAATAGTATTTTCTTTTAATTATATACTAAAGGTTATAACCTTTTATATATAGTTTTTTTCTATTTTATATATCTATTTTCTATTTTATTTATATTTTATTTATTTCTCTATATTTAATTATATTATATTTATATTAATTAAATATTTAAGAATATTTAATAGCTTTAATTTTATTATAGAATTAATAGAATTTAATTTTCTTTTAATTTATTTAATTTTCATAATCTCTTATTATTTATATATTTAATAGAAATATATTATATTAATTATTAGATATTTCTTTTAAGTAATTTCTAATTTAATAAAGTATTTATATAAAGACTTCGAATTTATATAAACTATTAGTAATAGTTCTATTTCTAGTATTTTATTAATTATAGATTTAACTAAAGTACTTATATTAAAGCTATAAGTTATACTATAGAGTTCTAAAGCTAGAATACTTCTAGTAACTCTTTTATATTTAGTAGAAAACTAATAAATAATATTAGTATATCTAGTTCTATTTATTAGAACTAAAATATATTTAATTTAGAAAAAAAGATCTCTATTATTTATAAAAATAATTAAATATAAAAACTCTTTTATTAGCTTTATAAATTTTAGTTCTCTAGTAATATTCTTAATTTACTAATAAAGATATTTATTAAATACTTTTATATTAGTTATAATAGCTAGTATTATATAATTAATATAGATATGGTTTTAGCTAAGGGATTTGTTTTAGCTAAGGTTCCAAGCTATAATTTAAATCAAGCTCGCTTCTAAAGCTCGGCATTTTAGTAGTCTTGGCCATACCTACTTATCTACTACCACACCTCACTTCTTCTCTTCTTAGCTTTAGATTCTATAGGATATTAGAATTATAGATCTTTAAGTATTATTTTATTACTTTATTCCTACTATTATATTAGTTTCCGAAAATTTAATAGCTTAAATAATAATTAATAGGTTATATAAAGCTTCTAGTTAATAGATTAATATAATATATATTTCTCTAGTATATTAGATAATATATTAGTTTTTAATAGAGAAATCTTAATAAATAGTATCTCTATTATTTATAGTAATAGTATTTTTTATAGAAATAATTCGAATGTTTTTATACTAGTATTTCTATATAAGAATAATTCTAGTAATATTTATATTAATAATACCTTTATTAAATTTGAGATTATAATTAAAAATAAAGTATTTATATTTCTTAGCTAAAAACTTAGCTTTTTAGAGCTTTAGTTATTCTATTTTTATAAAATTATTAGTTCTAATAAATAAGATATTATTAGTTTAAAGGCTAATAATTTTAAAGAATTACTTATTATAAAAG